ACGACGGTAGAGCTTTGTTATGTCGCTGCTGCAGAGTTGCACTATGAAGAGGGGTAAAGCAGTAATTTGTACATTAACCGGGTCAATGTAGGATTTTTGAAGCCTTGACATGTCTGAAACGCCCTCTGGCCAGCTCAAGATATTTTAAATTTGGTGTAGAATTTTTTTTTGTATTAATTTCACTTGACTAATGTGTGTTGTTGAACATAATAAACTACCTGCACCATGCAACCATCTGTGATTACATTCATTCTTGATGCCAAGTTAGCATACTATTTATAACAGTTTTACAGTGTAAAAATAGATATTTAAATGAGATTTACGATAAGAAACTTCACATAATACATCAGCAGCTTTCACGTTTAATGTTAAGACGCCGGGTCCACGTCGGTGTCAACGCAAGACGGTAACTCACTCCTTTCTTTCCTGGGATGGCGCACTCCCAGTTCATCAGATTCATGGTGCCATCGGGGTTCTTGGTGGGAACGGCGACAAAACCCTGTGAGGTTTACAGGTAGAATAGAATTACTTTATTGATCCCCAACTGGGAAATTGTGGCGTTACAGCAGCAGGTTATCCAAACACACAATATGAGCAAAAAAAAAACAATATTAGCAAATCTAAACACAATGCAATATTAAATACAAAGTAAATAAGCACTAAAACTAAGAATGGGAATATACACAACCAGGATTTAAAGGTGACACAAATCAACACAGGGGAAGGAGGGGGGGGGGGAGATGAGACCTAGTTTTCTTTGTTTCAGTAACACATCATGCATGTCAGGACATCTGCCAATGAAAAAACTCAGAAATAAAACTGCAATATGTTGATGAAACTTACGAATGGGTGGTCTTTTCTCCAAGCTTTGCGCTCCTGGGACAGTCTGCTAAGAGCGATGCCAGACATTGCTGCTCATCAACGCCTCCCTGTGGTGGAGGAGGAGGAGGAGGGGGGGGGGGGGAGAAAACAACCCAAAACACATTAATTTTTAAATTCATGATTTTTGAAGCCCCAATTGTTTAAAATAAAGATATTAGAACATATTGGGACTTGACAAGACATCACAGATATTAATTAGCTGTGTGTGTGTGTGTGTGTGTGTGTGTGTGTGTGTGTGTGTGTGTGTGTGTCTATGTAATGTACATGGTTATTGAAGTCAGTCAATCCCCCTGGAAAGGAGGAGAACTCTGCAGTATTTACAAACAATACATGGTGTACTTACGTCCTTATCTGTCAGCTAACTATCGGAATTAGTTGCGTGGGTTTGGGGTTAACTGTGAGCTAACGTTAACGATATCGACAACGCTGCTGTGACGGCGACCGAGAGAGAGAAAAAAACACACACCACACACCCTCCGACGTTAAAAAACAAAACTACCTGTCCGGTTAGGGCGAAGGTAACGGAACCAAATGAGACTTTGGTTTGTTCAACATCACCCAAAACACTCTAATCGACATACACTGGTGTTGTTTACAGGGGGGGATTTATCACAGTTGTGTTAAACAAAGTGACTCTCCGTTGCCGTTTCGACAGCTAGCCTATAGCAAGAAAAAAGGACCCCAATTTGTTTTTTTCGTAAGGACCTTCAGGCAGATACGGGGCAGCCGCTGGACGCGCGGTAGGGGTGGTCGGCCATCTTTGTTGTGGCAATTCGCACAGAGAAGTTCAAGCGCTGGGAATGATTCGCCCTTTTTGACCCACTCACATGCGCAAAGCTAAAACTTTAAAACAGTATTAAGGTCAGGGGTGGGGCAACTGGCGGCCCCCATCAACCCTCAACGTGGACCTCAGGTCAATTTTTACATATTAATTAATTTGGAAACATGAAGAAATCATGTCAAAATCTGCCATGAAATCATGAAAACCAGAAATATGTCCATTTTACGCATAGTTTTTCTTTTCTTTTTCTTTTTATATCTATTTATATCTGCATCTTATTTTTATTTTTTATATGTAAATACATGCTGCTGTTTTTATCCTGCACTACAACGAGCCAAATGCAACGAAATTTCGCTCTTATCTGCACTGTAAAGTACAAGTTTGAATGACAATAAAGAAAGTCTAAGTCTAAGTCTAAGTCTAATAATAATATTTGATCACTGGTATATGTTGAGTTAAATTTGAGACATAATCGACTGTAATCGTTTTTTCGTATGCTACAATTTGGCCCTCTGGCAGTGAGAATTAAATGAATGTGGCACCTTGCTGTGAACGAAGTTGCCCATCCCTGAGTTAGGTCTAATGAATGAAGTTGACAAAGCATTATGTTGCGTGAATACGTGAGCGCATGAAATGGTTAAGGAAAATGTCGGAATTTTTTTTAAAGTAGGCAATCGATAAAGTGCACCCTACACTTTATCGCTTTGAAAGTATTCAATTCAATTCAATTCAAAAAACTTTATTTGTCCCCTGGGGGCAATTCAAAGGCACACAGAGCAGTAAATTTACAACAGAGCCAGTAGATGAAACATTTTAATCTAAATCTAAAGTGTCAATTTAAATGCAACTTAAAGCTTAAACTTAAAAATACAAAATATAAAAGAGTAGATATAAGTGGACAGTGATTGGACTAACAGATGTAAACAGATGTAACCATAAGTATGTGCAGTAGTGACCAGATGTAAACAGAACTATGTGCAGTAAACAAGAAATAGATATATATATATATATACAGTGAAAGGGAGGAAGCAGGATAATGATTATCACCCATAGACTGTATAAAACATGGACGTAGTCCCAGTGACGTCGTCCATTGGGTTCTCTGAAGCCCAACAATGGGCAGTCGCCATTTTGGAAATGCTATCTCCACCTAGTTTTCTATCATTCACAGATGAAGAGGTGGAGCTGAGGCATTGCTAACCCTGCATTCATGTGGTTTCATACACATTGGAAAAATTCCAAGTTGGAAAATGCACATGAACACCTACTCAAGTGGGAACAACAACTCGCAAGGAATTTGATACCCAACTTGCTTACTAACACGCCTTCATGTAAGTCAACTCAACCCTAATCATGCAAATGTCTGTAAAACTGCTTTAGCCTATATATAAAAAAGAAATCAACCCCTGTACCGTTTTTAACATTAAAAAAACAATCTATCAAGCCTAGAAACATTTTTAAACCAGGCACTAAACATGTTATTTCTGCATTTTAACACGGGACCTTGTGGGGATTCCTAAGCTTTTGCAGCCAGCCACAAGTGGACACATGAGGATTTTCAGTTTATTTGCACATCTGCTTTGGCTTAATTTTGCAACACTGAAAGTTGCTGCTTGATATTGCCTAATCTAAAATTTAGCGATGTTGTGCCGTACATTACATAAACATATCGAAGCATGCATATTATCTTACATTGTCTACATATTACTGCTGCTGTGAAATAATCTAAGTGTTAGAGCGTAGGAGTTTTGATTTAATATCTACCCCCTGCAGATACAGTAGGAAAAATCTACAGCTCCAGATCAATTGTTGGAAATGAGTCGTTTCAAAGTGATGTAGTCGTTCCAGTTTGCCCATTGGTGGAGCTCGTTTGTTCTGCGCTCTTCAGTTTCCTTTTTGCCTAAATGGAACATAGCAACAGCTGACATCATGAATAATTGTACAGATAAATCATTCCTCCTTTGTTTAAAAATCCCAAAATGCAAATGCCAAACTACAGAAAATTATAATGACGCAGGTTGAATTAAGAATTAGTTTTTAATGCAACCTCAAAACACCTCTCAAAACAGGATTCTTGTTTAAGTTTAAATGATTTTCCCAATTTATGCTTATTTTCTGGTGCCATACCAGTTACATAATCCACATTTTACAAATGCGCGTTACTTCTACGGCAAAACGAAAGCCAAAATACACAAACTTTTTTTGTTTTGAAAATCGGGCATCTTGCCAGACACCTCAAATCGAGCACAGGAACCGGACTGAACTGGTTTTGATTTCCTCTGCGTCAGCATCCCAATTTTTTTTTTTTTTTTAAATGCTGTATCATGTCCCAGCTAAAGCTCCACTCCCTTTGTGTTCACTTCAACTGATGCACTTTTCACACTCAGGAAACTTTTCTTAAATTCTATTCTATTTTGCACCAATTAAAACGTGTTAAGTCATGAATAACACTAGTTTGGCTGAACTTTGTGATATGCATTAAAAACCTTTATATTTCAGCATATGTCTGGAAAACAAAGATTGAAACTGTTTAAACAGTCCCATGAGTTGAGAGAGAGAGAGAGAGACTGATAAGTTGATAAATATTTCTTCCATATACAGTTTTCTGACCTTGGGTCTTCCATGAATCTCACATAAAGCTAAATATTTACTTTTCTGGTTACTGAGTAAAAGACTTTGAAGGACCGGGACTATGAGATCTGGATATTCAAAGAGGAGAAAAAGATTTCAAACTATCTGAATGTGGAATGTAAAAAAAAAAACCCTTCAAACTCAACTTAGTGTAGAAGAATGAATCAATGAGAAAAGGGAAGCTCAATCGTAGCATTACACACCTTCCATTCATTTTCAAATATTTGATTTGAAGAGTTTTGGCAGTAGCCTCAAGTGAAACAGTTAAGTTATTGATTAGTTTAAACATAGCCAGACCTCACAGCACAGCAATGAGAGCTGGCTCTGTCTGCTCTCAACGACTCTGTTAAATAAAAACACTTCTATTTATTATCAGTCACATAAAGCAAAGCAATGTTTGATATGTCTGCACATCCACCACTCAGATTATTCTGTTTAATTCTATATCACACCATGTTATTTTCAGAATTAATCACTTTAAAGTATGTAAAGTATAAAAACCTTAAATATTCACACCATTACATTGGTAGATTGATCAATATATTTCTTATTTGCTGCAAGAAATCCTTATTTTTTAAACTCTGAAATACACGGAATGTTGAGGTATATTTGGGATCATAATAATAACACTTGTCTAAAAAAAAAAAAAAAAAAACACTGATGAATATGGTTGATCAATAATTACTCAACTCAGTATTGACACAACTGTCTTTTAATGTTCATGGTATATTATGAAACAAACATTTTTGCTGATATGTCTGAATGGACCAGAGAAACAAACAGAAACAGACGACTCACCAGCCTCCTCTCTTAAAGAGTACACAGATATTTATAGATCTATTTTAACCATCGCATTATGAGATGCATCTTGTTACCTGCATTGTATTTATTAGCAAAAAAATTAGAAAAAGGAAAGAAGCAGGGTCTCAAACAGTAGCCCCCCCCCCCTAATTAAAGGAGCTAACTTTAGAGCCCACTTGTTCAACATCAACATATCTCATGTAACGTCACAGTATACATACAAAGTGCACTATAAGGCGGTTTTATTTTTTTTCTAATCTATCACGACACCTTGCTTTAAAATCCTTCCCTCTTTCATTCACACCTTCTTCCCCTCTCCCTCTGAGATAATCAGCTCCGGAGACGCCCTTTTGAACCATTCCGACCAGGAGCCATCGTAAACACACACCCCGGGATGCCCCAGCATGTGAGCGGCCAGAGCAACATGGCACGCCGTGACACCGGACCCGCAGGTGGCCCAGAGAGGTTTCTCCAGGTCCACTCCCGCCTCTCTGAACAGTCCAGACAGGCCGTCAGATCCAAGCGCTTTCCCGGACGCGTCCATGAACGTAGGAAACGGCATGTTGATCGTATTGGGGAAATGTCCGGGCAGCGTGTCTGTGGAAAAAAATAAATATGAATGTTCTTGAGTTCTTCTGGAAATTTCAGCCATGTTTCAGAAAAAAATGTTCGATTGGTTGTCAAAGGATGGTTGAGTGTCTAGTTATATGCTCATTAGTAGCAGCTTTTTATGCCTCAGCCAGGCTGTAGTAATGATATCTTTATCTATAAAGATAAGATAAAGGTAGACCAACAAGACAGAAGCTGTAAACACAGCAGAGAGAAGAAAAGAAAACTAAGTATAGCAAAAGAGGCAAATTAAAGTTAAGCACATGAAAAATAAAAATGAATTTAAAATAGAAATAAATTAGTCTTAAATATATTTTTTTAAAGCTACTGTACAAGCTTTTATTTTGTGTTGATTTTGGCGCCCCCTGTGGACACATTGATATGTCCGATCTCTTGCTGATCTTGTCCCACACTTATTCTGAAGTTTTCTGTAATTCATTTTTGTTTAAAAAACTCCTCCAGCTTTCATTTCGCTGTGTAACCTACCACTCACTTAGAGCTTTTCACACATGCAGGAAACTGAACGTAAACAGCTTCATTTCATCGTTGTCTTATATTCTCCTGCCAGCCCTCTAGTATTTTCTGAGGCTTGACTGACTGACTGACCTTAACTTACACATTCAAACAGTCAGCAGTACTCCCCATTGTTGTAAATCTGCATCTGTTTCCTTCCAAATTGGATTCTGTATTTTCTGTTTGTCTTCATCAGTTTGCTTTAAAGTTTGTTTTGAAACACCACACTGCTGAATTTTAGGCCTACATTGATCACATTGACATCTGAGGGCGACTTGGTACCCTGAAGGGAAAAGAACTTAACCAAACCATTTCTTACTTTATAGTTGTGACCAGACATTTAATATTTTTGACTAATTTTAGTGCTCAAATATGCTAAATTTGAGAGTTCAGTGATTTTACTCCCACGCAACAGTCCACTTAATGCAAAGTAAACAGACTTGTTTTGACATGTTAATCCTGCTCACCATCTCTGGGCTCCGGTTCTGTCCCCCTGAACCTCCCTGCAGACCTGGCATCCACCACCTGGACCTGCTTGGTGTTGACATTTTCTAATATGTCTTCATAACTTTTCACCCAGGACTGATTCACGGTCGCCTTGAACTCTCTCGGCTCCGGCTTGGAGTACTCAGATGTTACGGGATATCCATCCGCCAGCCAGTTCTTAAAGCCTCCGTCCAGCACCGACACCGAACTGTGTCCGAACAGGCGGAACATCCACCACACCCGGGGCGCGCTGTACGAGCCGAAGTCGCTGGTGTCATAAACTATCACATGCGTGTCGTTGCCGATGCCCAGCTGTCCAACAAACCGAGAGAAGTGAGTGGAAGTGGGCAGCATGTGGTCAAAGGCAGAGGTCTTATCGCTGCACTCGTCTATGTCAAAGAACGAGCAGCCCGGGATGTGCGTCTGCGCAAATTCAGCTTTTGGGTCCCGTTTCGTTTTCGGCAGGTACCAAGAAGTGTCGAGTATGCGGAGTTTTGGACCGACGAGGTTGTTTCTGACAGCATCTGCCAGCCAGTGACCGGAGACCAGAGCCCGGGTCTGAGCCGCCATGACGGGGAGCTGAGAAGTACAAACTCCGAGCGCTAGAGGGAATAAAGATCCACAGTGTGTGTGCTCTCTCTCTGTTCAGGTCAAATATCAGCCCCGCTTATTTGAACTTTGAGTCTTTAAATATAGACTAGCCTACAACAGTAAAGTCTTTTTTTTTTTACAACCCAGAAGTAAAACAATAAAGAGGCAGACATTGTTACACTGTCTTTTATTGAGAAACTAGCCAACTAAACATAAAACAAATCTGTAATAAAGACATCACAAAATGATAAGTTGCATTATCTCAAGGCATGTTTGCTTTGAAATACACACGTGCAAATCACAACTTTTAAGGTTTCAAGGCACCTTTTTTTTATTTTTATTTTTTACAAAAGTGCACATACACTAAAGCGCCAGCAGGTGGTGTCATATTATACAAAATCACAAGCAAGGGGAGTACAGAGTAGAAAAAGCTCAGGCTACATGTCCCCCTGGGATTAGGGTGGAAAAACTCCACGTATAAAGTGGATTGAAATACCAATAAAAGGAAATATTAGCACCATCTTTTTAATTAAGGCAGCCTTTTTTTTTTACATTTGATAAACAAATGAGTACAGTCATCAAATCCAGTTTTCTTCAACTCAGGATCATAGATCAGGTTATTCCTCTCACATACAGATTTAGAAAAATGCATCCATGCCTTGATATCCTCCAGACTCAAATACTGCAACTCACTGTGTTCAGGTATTAATCAGGCCTCTAGACTGTTTTAAACTTGTTCAAAATGCAGCAGCCAGACAAGACTTCTTTGCAGAGGCACAAGAGGGGATCAGAGAATACCTTACCTTCCTCCTTTTGTGTGTGATTTGCCATGAAGGGTGATATATCACGGAACTATTGTCACCCTACGGTACAGCTAGGCCCCTCAGATCATCAGAGCAAGGACTCCTAACCATCCCACGATCAAATGGAAAAGCTTTGGGAGAGAGGTACTTCTCTGTAGTAGAGACTGTGAAACAACCTACCGTTACATGATCAACACATTCTATGAGCTGCTTTAAAAAACAACTCAGGACTCTTTTTTAATTACATTGCCTTCTCTTACAGTTCATTCTTTATCTGATTGGAACCCTGCCCTGTTTCCTACATGCCATCATTTTTGTGCAGATGTACGTGTGTGTGTCTGTTCTTTGCTGTCGCTACATGCTTTCCGATTGAGATAGCCGAGGTTCACTTCTCAACTTTGGCTGTGCGAGTCTGTGTGCCTTTACTGACACTTCAATAATCTTGACATCTTTTAACTCGTAATTTTATTTCACATGTTATAACTTCGCTGACATTGACATCTCCTGTGAGACCTGTACAGCTGAGAATTCAATGTGTTAATAATGCCAGATTTTTTTACTTTTTGTATTCTTTTTAAAAGAAGTAACTTTTATTTGTAATAGATTATTTGTCTGAACAACTTTTGATTTAGTTTGTCCTCCTAAGTCTGATTTGTTGTGCATTTTTCTTCTTACAAACAGACATGAGTAGCCCAATATTAGGCTGAATAACTCTGAAAATACATCAATAAAGGGACACTTTTAGTTCATTAAAAGGGCCCACATGCAGCATCTTAAATCTGTCTGTCTCATGATATTGTGGCTGAGAATTCTTTTCCTAAAGTTTGAAGATATTCGGCCTTGAAACATGTTTAAATGTTTAAAAAAAATAAAGTGACATTCCATCCAAAACGGTTAAGATGTAGTTAAACACTCAGACCTATCTCAAAGCTACTTACAGTATGTGCTGCCAACGTTCAGACCATTATGCCGAGCCTCGTTTCTAAAAATAGTTTAAGTGCTAAATGCAAATCATCAAACAAGCTCTCGTGAAAAATTATGTTATAGAAAGATTTAAGCTTCATCCATCTGCTCATGTGTCAGGTTCAAACACCTCTGACTAAGATTTAAGTACTGTGAATAACATTTAATATTGAGTGCTGATCGTGTCTCTATCCTCCTCTAATCTTGTTTTTTCCCTCAGAGACAACATGCTCTGGGGGGGCTTTGGTGAACCACTCATACCAGGATCCGACGTACACAGACGCCCCAGGAGAGCCGCACAGATGAGCAGCCAGCACCATGTGACAGGCGGTCACGCCGGAGCCACATGTTCCACATATCGGCTTATTAAGGTCCACTCGTGACATCTCAAATAACTTTTTCAGCTGTGTGGGGAGAGCATCATGCCGTCATCATTGAGGAAGTCGAAGAAAGGGATGCATTTAGAGCCGGGGATGTGACCCGGATCAACACCTGTGGGACGAGGACAACGTTTATCAATCAACCCCCAACAACATATTAACATCAGTATTCATTTATTCTGTGACATGAATACTGACAAACTCCTCACTGGAGCTTTAAATATGCAACGCAAGAGAGCCTTGTTTCATGACTGTGCAGCTTTTGTTAACTGTGGCATCAAGATGAAAAGGCAGTGGAATTGGGATTTTTACCAATGTTTGAGTCCTGCTGGAAAACCAACTTAAAGCTAATTCTTTTTAAAAGATCCAAACCATGACAAATGAGGGCCTAAACCTAACCCAAAAGACAAATTTGTGCTACAAATTTAGGTGAAACTTAGAAATATAGGCACAGTCACAGTAAAAAGTAGGCCGCCTATACCAACAAACGAAAAAGTTCTACATTAAAGTGCCAAAAATATTCGGATAAAAGGATTGCTGGAACATAACTTCCAATAAATGTGATCTCCATTAACGGAGATGCTTTTTTTTTTTTTTTTTTTTTTAAACTGACACATCATCATGTGGCCCTGGAAGGGAGGAGAAAGAAAGTCCCGTCTCTACTCAGGCTCTCATTGGCTGTCGCAGGAGCAGTGACTGGAAGTTCCTGATCGGTTAAATGAGGTGACAGGTCAAAAGGTCAAGAAGCCTACACGAGAAAAATGCAGTTGAAAAGCAGCAGAAATGTTGAAGCAATCTGTGGATATTTACAGACACTTGTATAACTTGGGTTTTTCTTAGTCAATAGTTTCTTAATTTGATTAATGATTAATCTTATTTTGTTTAGGCCTACCATTCAGATTTTAAACGCCTGTAAAAAAAAGACATACATGAGATATTCCAATATCTAAGTGTAAAATATTGACTTTTAAACCAGACTTTATGACCTTACCCTCTCTTGGTTCCGGTTCTTTCCCGAGGAATCTCTCGTGGGGCCTCACGTCCACCACCTGGAACTGCTGGGACCTAATGTTCTCCGTAACGTCCTCAAAAGACTTGACCCAGGAGCGGTCGTGGTGGCTCTGAAGCAGACTGCGTCAGGCTTGGTGTACGTCCCTGACACCGGATCACCCTCTTTGACCCAGTTTCTAAACCCCCCGTTCAGCACAGACACCTTGGGGTGCCCAAACAACCGAAACATCCACCAGACTCGGGTGCAGGAAAATGCCCCATAGTCGCTGGCGTCGTACACCACCACATGGCTGTCGTTCCCGATGCCCAAGTTCCCAACATAGTCGGCAAAAAGTTGCTCGGGTGGCAGTGAATGGTCGAACTTAGAGGTCTTGTCCGAGCACTCGTCGATGTCGAAAAAAGACGCTCCCGGGATGTGAGATTGCGCAAATTCCTTCTTCCCGTCTCGGTTCATCATCGGCAGGTACCAGGACGTGTCCAGGATCCGAAGACCCGGACCGACCAGATTTCGTTTGACCATGTTTGCAAGCCATGAAGCGGACACAAGAGCCTGAGTCTGCATGCCCATAGCTGCAGCAGTGTGGGTCTGAGAGCTCTGCCCTCAGACAACCTCTGAAGCAATCTCCCTTCTGCTGAAAATTTGCTATGTAAACAAACAAATTGGTACAATTGTAGATTTATTCTTTGGATCAGACAGATTACATGTCACTAAAGTGAATTACTGCCATCTAGCCTACTGCGAAAATACACTTTTGTATAGCACCTTTCAAAACAGTGCTTCACAACAGCAGAAAAAAACCTCAGATTTCAACATAAAAGCCCAAAAAAAAGAAGCACAGGCCAGTAACAGGTGACCTAATTAGGTCAATAGGATATTATCAGAATCAGCTTTGTTGGCCATGTATGCTTACACACAAGGAATTTGGCTTAGGTGAACATGTGCTCTCAATATAAAACATTATATACAACATAAAATAAGCACAGACTAATAGCCTACACAAGGCTAATGTGATTAAACAATGAGATTATTTAGACACACACATGTAGGCTACATCTACTTTACCTAATCATCTCTCCTTAACCTTTTTTTTTGTTCAGTTTTTTTCTGCTTCTTATCTCTTTTTCCATTTACTTGGTATTGTCCTTCCCGTGTGTTTCTCACTTCTTGTGTGTGTTGTTGCTGTTTTATTCTTGAGTTCTCTTTTGGTCTGTGGTGTTTCCTGTTTTATTTTGTAGTTCTTGCACTCTTTCACCTGTGTCTTGTTCCTCACACCTGTGTCTGATTGCCCCCTGTGTTGAGTGTCTGGGTTCCGTATGGAGTGTGGAATCTTGTCTCTGCATAATTAGATTTTTTTTGTAGAAACACTTGATTTTAGAAGTAATTGTAACACTAAGAGAAGGTTTCATGGTCGACTTTGTAAACTCAGAAGGAGACGCAGTATTACAAGCTGATCATTTACATGAAATGCATATTTTGTCCCATTTGTGATTGTTGGCGGCAACCGGGATGGTCCCTCGATAAGATCCTTGGAAAATTACTGGCAACACAACTTATTACAGAATTTAAACGAGCAATGTATCATGATCAGGACACTAATGAGTCACATGACACATTTTATTTGCATCGCATGAGCTTGTTTTGTCTCTTAGGCCTTAAAGACAAAAAGTCTGACTAAAGTCAGCAGAATGTTTCACATGAAGCTGTTAAAAGACCACTTTCAGAGCAGAACTAAAAATGGAATAAGTCAAAATAAAACTTCCCTCTTACACTTTGCGTCACACGGAACATTTGAGTAGCCTCAAACGGAGACATGAGCAGCTCCCTATGCTGACAATGTATGTATGTAGGCCAGCATTGAAGTTCAAGATCAAAATCTTGACAAATTATCTCGTTATCATGGGAAAACCAGTTCTGTCATCCCGAGATGACGAGACAAATAAGTTGAGCTCTCGAGAAAATAACAGAAATTTTCTTGTTATCACAGGAAAACAGAGTACTATAAAATGTATGGATCTGTTTGTACTTAGACTTCCTTATTTTTCCTTATTGTAGACTTATATATGATAATTTTTGCTACTAGTTAGATTTCCAACACTACTGATTGGATTCAATAAAGTGCAGGAAGGTCCTTGAGATACAAGCTGCATGAGTATCAGCACGATAGACGGAGGAAGTAGACATGTTTTTGTCTATTGCTGAGGTGAAATAAGGACAGATTTAAACAGATTGACCCCTTATTGTTGTATTAACATCAGGATGGATTCTGGTTTTTAGTGATTTGGAGCTGAAATTAGACAGTAACTTACATGCTGTGGAACAAGTGAGAGAAAGAGAGGGAGAGAGAGTGAGGGGAGGAAGCTAAGAAACTGAATTGCATAATTGGAGTCACTGCTTCTATATTAGAGACAAACTCTTGTTTTTTCGTCAAACCCAGTTTTCCTCCCACTGACTCTTCTTCAGTCCTACCAACAGGTCCGATCTGAGTGAAACTTCTAGATTGAGGTAGGACAATGAATCTAAAATAGAAAAAAAACATGTGAATTGTGTTGTAAATAACATTCATAACAATGTATCTACATGTTAAGTATCACCAGGCTACTAAATGAGTGACTTCTTTCAGTTTGGTTGTTTTTTTTTTTTTTTGGTTTTTATTTCTTGTTGTGAGAATATTTTCAAATATGTTCAATAATGATCTGTCTTAAAGTCTGCAAAAGTCAAAACAATACAAGCTTATTCATTAGTATTGGTGTCTCAGTTATTTTTGAACAGGTATCATCTTTAATGTAAGAATTGACATTTTGTGGAGGAAAGAAATCAATCATTATTTTCGGCTGTTTCATTAAAGAAACATTAAATCGGAAGTGTTTACATTTTTTTTAAATTATTTTAGCAAGACCAATCCTGTATAGTTAACTCTATCTTGGTTTTTACCGCAAAACCGAAACAGAGGATCTGTGTGGCTTGACACTTCAGTGCGTAAAGGAAATAATATTTTTATGTCATTTAAGTCTACCGACCCTTTCAATGAAGCTAAGGCTCCAAATATTAATAATTGATGTGGTTTAATAAATGATTAAAAATACTAAATATTATATTTTTTTCTCAATTATAATTCCACACCAAATATCCCAGTATTTTTTTGGAAGAAGAATATCATTGTTGAAGTGTAACATGCTAGTAGTAGTGCTGGTAGTACTGGTGGCATCCAGTAATTGAGCTATTAAATCACAAGACCAGTTGGCTATCCTTGCTGACCTCAGATAGGAAACAGACAGCCGACATTGTTTGGATGATTTGAACTGATGTGAAGAAATTAGGGAAATCTAATTTTCCAACAGCGAGGGATACATTTCCTGGACAATCTGGAACAATAAAAATGCCAGGCTTCATTTTTGTGCAGAGAAAAAGGGAGTAACTGGTTTCACGTGTGAGCTCAGTTATCAGTCATTACCAGAGTCTGTATACGCTGAATCCAGGGTGGGCAGCTGGGAAGCAAAAGGTGGATTCATTCCATTGCTTCCCAAATTATAAGCCTCCACAAAGAGACCTGTGTTAGACTCAGCAGTCAGCAGTACCCTTAAATCAGATGATTGACTTATTGGTGTCACTAGTGAGACAAAGGTTGGACGTCATGTGAAGGAAACGTACAGTAAATGATAATGAGAAGGGGAACATGTTGTATTATAGTATTTCATCTATGGGTGTGTGTGTTTGTTTAATGTAAAGCAACTGCTACATAACCTAAAAGTCCAATAACACAGTAATTTAGAATATTTTGTTAGTTAAATTTGGTATATAAATATATTAAAATCATATTGGTTATAGTTAGCTATTTAGCACAGATCAACTCCTAACCATGTGTCACTGTGTTTTCTTAGTCTTTCTGTTCATGTGGATTTTTTTTATTTACATACATTTCATTTATATAGGGACTATGTACAATATTAAATATAAATGTTGCCATTTGACGCATTGTACCAGAGTTAGTTTAAGGCTAATCTTGGGTCTTGTTTTAACTGTCAACCTTGGCATGTCACAGTTAAAAACAGCAAAAAGGAGCAAACTCAACCGTAAACAATATTTCAGGTGCACGACCACAACAAGACTAAAGAAGAGACAGCACACTAAATGCCCTTCAGAGTTGTTTATCTGGGTGGAGCGCACAGATCAACAACTGTCGCGTTTCAGCACAAGGCCTTCTTCAGCATTGAGTTAAAACATCACAAATAAAACATCACATATGACATCACAGTACATAATAAAAACACACAAACACATCAAGAATATATTATTCAAGTTAAAAGCAGAGAGTGCTTACAGGTTGGGTATCTTTCAGCAGATTTTCCCATTTTTAAAGCTGCCGATAGAATTGCAGCTCTGACAGTCATCTGGTAGGGCGTTCAAATGGGTCCAGGATGTCACAGAAAAAAGCTGACTGCCCAAAGGCAGTGTGACTGGTGCAGAGCAATTTCTTGTTGAATACATTCTTGTAATTTTAATGCATTTGTTTTGTAGATAATATGTAACATCAGTGACTACATGTGGAGTTGTTATTTATATATTCTATGTATTAAGAACAAGAAATAAACTACATGGCATAACTTCCCCCCCCCCCCTTTTTTTTCCATTTCCTATCAAGCTTCCACAAGCCTCAACAGGATGGCCCTTCTAGACTACCCTGTTCCGCAGTTGGATGTTACATTGCAAGAGGTCAGCCGTGTCCTACAGCTCACTCTAAGCCCTGATATTTATCCTGAGTTCAAAAGTACACTGGAAGTCCAGAGGGAGCTCCTTCAAGAGGCCCAGGAAAAATTAATAACCATTGCTGCTGGCCAAGAGAATTGGGTGACGGAGCAATTTAAGAGAGGTCTGCTGTCCTGTGCTGACCCCCTACCCACCTCTACAGCTCTCCCTGTTGTGCTTCTTCCTTCAAGGCTTAAGAGATGTACCCAGCTGGGGAGGGCAGCTGCTCTGCTCTGGGCAGCAGCAAAGCTCTACAGTGAGCCCTTGTTATTAGAGGGCAATGCGCCAATGGAGCGCACACAGCAGTCCGAGGTGTTTGCTGCCAGCCGAATTCCTGGCAGGAATCAAGATGAGATAAAGGTGAGATTACTTTTAAGACACAACCACTGCTGTGTGTGTGTGTGTTCAGTAATCAAATCAAACCGTTCTGTAAATCACAGCTTTTTGGCTTAATTCCAAGTTAGCAGTTAAAAAAAAAAAAAATTGACCTGCCTTGTTATTTAAATTCCAGGTTTACCCAGATAGCCTCCATGCCATTATCACCTGTGTTGGAGGAGTGTTTCCTGTTGATATACTGTGGTGCCCCAACACAGGTGGGCCAGTTTCTGCCAGACCTTTAATTGATATCTACAACCAGCTGGCTCAGGTGATGGATCAACCAAGTGCAGGAAAACAGAATGATCCCTCAATCATTTGCAGCCTCTCAAGTCTTGAGCGGAAAGTCTGGGCTGCAACCCGAGAAGAGATCCTTGGGCAAGGAGGGGCTGCAGCAGCATCGTTGCTTCATATGGAGAGTGCAGTGCTTACACTCTGTCTGGAAGACTCCAACGCACCCTCTGAATTAGCTGATGTCCTCAATGCAGTGAGACTCGGAGGAGGAGGAGACAGTCCATGTCTGAGACACTATGACAAGGTATAAAAAAGAATATGGATAAGAATTAAAAAAATATCTGAGATCAGATTATTCAACTATTGCTTGCATTGACACATTCTCTCATTATACCAGGGATGAGAAAGTATTTCAGTGTGGCAAAGTTAAATTCAATAGATAACTCAGATCTCATCAAAAGAGCAAAAGCATAAACATGTCTGCAAACTTTTCACAGAATTTGTTTGTATAAGTATGTTATCAGTTATATTACACTGTTGTCTCCTTTTTTTTTGCAGGTGGTGAACCTAGTGGTTTTTAAGGACAGCACTGCTGGGCTAGTGTTTGAGCATAGTGCCGTGGATGGGATGGTGGCTGGACTTGTGACAGAACAAGTATACAATCTGTCAGAAACTGTTGACTTAAACTTTTTGCCTACTAACACAGAAAATGTTAAAAGTTCTGTAAGTGTAAACAATGGTGATTCTGAAGGTCCTGCATCCCTCACATTTCCCTTGCAAGCAAAAAATACACCCAAACTAAGTCCTGATTTACAAGCAACACACCCAGTTCTTACTTTTGATGTGCCCTCCTACCCTGATGTCTTTTCGACTCTCAGAGGGCAAAGAGGCCTGTATGATGCCTGGATCAACTTCTCTTTGCAACTTTCCCTAAGGCAGACTATTGGGGAATCAGCTGCCAATCAGATACTTGTCACACCTACGCATATGCGGCACTACAAACATGGTCGTTGTGATCCAACATACTCGCTCACCATGAATTCCCGCAAATTAGTGGGCGCATTGGCTTCTTGCATTGGCCCAGACAATACAATTCAATACTCTACTGACCTCCTACAAATGTTCCATACTGCATTTTTGGAGCATAAGAGCCTCATCAAAAACAGCAAAAGTGGTCAAGGAGTCGGTCCTCATCTAGCTGCTTTGCGTCGACTTTTGCCATCTGATAATCCACTGAAAAGGTTCCTGGACCCCTTTGGATGTCCATCTGTGTACCTGACAGGAACAGACATGATGGAGGGTGTGGAGTGTGGAGTAGGAAATGTTTATGCCAAAGATCAGCTTGCTGTGACCTACCTTGGAAAAAGAGACAAGGTTCGCATTGTGCTAAATGGGAAAGGGAGATTTGCTTTGACACTTGAGAAACTTAAAGAAAGCCTGAGGAAAAACCTCAAGTTAGTGATGCTTTTAGCGGTTAGATATGCCATTGCAAACCAAATGGGTGCCCTGGAATGTGTGCTCCAACAGGCACAAACAGACAAAATGCATGAAGAGAGGAATCACTGCGCTGTGAGGCTGGACAATGGGAAATGCATCGCTGATTCCCCTTCTTGCACAAACTCTGACTACACTCTGGTGATCCATGGTGGTGCAGGAGAAGAGATGATGTTAAACACTGAAGTGATTGGGGTAATTGAGTTTGCTCTACAGACAGCTTTAACCCTTGGATCCCAAGTGCTGGCACAAGGTGGAAGAAGTCTTGACGGAGTCCAGAGGTCAGTGGAAGCTCTAGAGGACTGCTTCCTGTTCAATGCAGGTAAAGGCTCAGTATTCAACAAAGATGGAAAAAATGAAATGGAAGCAACCATCATAGATGGCAATGCAATGAGTTCAGGTTCTGTTGCTTGTGTGAAAAGTGTGAAGAACCCAATAAAAGCAGCCAGGTGTGTCTTGGAGAAAAGCTCACATTCACTCATTGTGGGGGACGGAGCTGAAGAGTTTCTGCATGGTTTGGAGGGCAACGATAAACCTGTTGAGCCTGAATATTTCTACACTGATATACGTCAAAAGGAGTTAGCTGCAAAGCTCAGTGGTGGGAATAACTCAAAAAACAATCACCCTCAGACAGTTGGAGCTGTGGCGTTAGATCGCTGGCATGGGTTGGCTGCTGCATCTTCCACAGGTGGGGTAGTAGGAAAACTGAAAGGGCGAGTTGGGGATACAGCAGTGGTGGGGGCAGGAATCTATGCTGATGACAAAGTGGCTATTACGTGCTCCGGAGATGGAGATGCATTTTTGAGACACACAATAGCACAGAAAATAGCCAGCCTCTACAATCACAAGGGGTACAGTATTAGGGAAGCGTGTAGAGAAGTGATGACCAAAAGTCTGAATGGGATTTGTGGAGGAATAATTGCTGTTGATAAGAAAGGTGATGCCACCATTGAAACAAATGCTGGCGTGATGTTTGTGGCATCAATGGTGAACGGCATTTCAAGGGTAGAGGTCCTGAGGCCCATGATGAGCTTCTCTGATGTAATCTGGGAAACAGATGAGCTGGTTGCTTTCCTAAATCCAAACCCCTGGATCCCTGGGTCAACCATTCTGACAAGAAAAACTCTTAGTGGGGCAAGGAGCATCTTCGACTTGGCTATACCTGATTTTGTGTCAATGTTACAAGGGGCAAGAGTTGTTTCAAGCTTGCTATGTGAGCGATTGGGAGTGCAGCGATGTGCAATGGTTTTCAATCCAACACCTGACAAGCCAGCACAGATAAGACTGCTGCCTCTCCATGGCCTTGAGCCGAAGTGGCAACCCCATCTTGCTTGTGAAGAGGAATTCCATCATTTTGATCCAGGCTACTGCACCTCAAAAAGTGGCCCCAGCTGGGATGATGAAACACTGGCCCAGGTGCAAGCCAAGATTAGAAGTGGATTGCCAACACCAAATTCACCCTCCTGCTTTGACTTTTTTGGAGATGCTTCCAATGACAATGTTTTCAGTCGTATTGTACGTGGAGAGCAGCAACAGTGGAGAGTGTGGGAAGACAATGAACATGTTGCCTTCCTGACACCGTACCCAAACACTCCTGGACTAACAGTTGTGGTTCCTCGTAGGCAACTGTCCAGTGACATCTTTAAACTGGAGGAAGCAGACTACAAAGCCCTAATCTTAGCCATCTACAAAGTTGCCCGACTAGTGGAGGAGGGAATGGGTGCTCGAGGTGTTGCACTAATCTTTGAAGGCTTTGAGATTGACTATGCTCATGCCAAGCTGATCCCTCTGGTACCTTCACCAGATGGCACCAAGTCTGCTGAGCTGCAACCTGAATACTTCCAAAAATATCCTGGATATGTGTCATCACTGGATGGCCCAGCAGCTGATCCTGAAACCCTCCTAAAGAGCCACACAAAAATTACCCAATGCAGGCCTCCTCATTCATGGAAAGACCCTCAGTCTCACTCCACACTTGCCATCAAGAGCCATTGGTATCGTAACATGTTCAAAATTCAAAACACTCTTTTCCACAGCACAGTTGAATATTTCCACACTACATGCCAGTACTCCTATGCTCTTACCCCCCTCACCACAGACACCATCTCCTCCCCCATGGGCCTTGGGTCTGACTCTGAACCAGTTTCTGTTAACCTGCTTGGCCAGGACATCTACCTTGCTGACTCAATGCAGTTTGTACTTGAATACTTCCTTCGCTTTCAGGAGAACCTGCCAGGGACATACTACATATCTCCCAGCTTCAGGGGAGAAGACCCTGATGCCACACACTTAAACCAATTCTACCATGTGGAGTGTGAACTGCTGGGTGACATGGACAATGCCATCTCCATAGCAGAGGGATTCCTGGCTCATCTCACCAAGTCTATGTTGAAGAAGCACTCTGATATAATCCTTGACACTGCTGGGACCCTTACACATGTCAAAGCCATGCTAAGTAAGTTGGATGGGAAAACTGTGCTACCAAGGGTATCTCTAAACCAGGCCATTCCCATGATGCCATCTGCAGACTGCTTGGAATGGGTTCAAGATGGCCAACCCCAGTTTGGAAGAAAGCTAACACGCAAAGGAGAACGGGTCTTGATTGAGAAGTTTGGTGGTGCTGTGTGGCTGACTGAGATGGACCATCTAGGGGTTCCCTTCTACCAGGCATATGTGGAGGGAACTGGACGGAGCAAAGCCAAAGCTGCGGATCTTCTTTTGGGGCTGGGTGAGACTGTAGGCCTTGGTGAACGTCATTCCACCTCTGAGATGGTACAGGATGCCCTCAGGCACCATGGAGTGCTAGAGCAGTCCTACAAATGGTACATTAACATGCGTCAAGTGAAACCACTCCTCACCAGTGGATGGGGTATGGGGACGGAACGTTACTTGTGTTGGCTGCTTCAGCATGATGATATCAGAGATATTCCAATCATTCCTAGGATGAAAGGAATGAAGTACATGCCTTGATCTTGGATTCCCTTATTATTATCAGGAAAATAGATTAACTGGTAACAATTAAGCAAAAGCAGAATATTCAATATAGATTTTAACCAAGAAAATGCCTCAATCATCCATACTTAGGCTTCTTAAAAACTTAACCAATTATTTCTCATTTTGTGTCCATGGATAGACCCAAACTTCTCGGTAACTACAATGTTAAATGTAAAAAGATCTTTACTCTGATGTGTTAAAGAATAAAGTAATACAATTGAATAAATAAATAACAGTGGGTAAGACTTATCTGTCAATAAGTTGTAAGTGATTGGCCATGAAAATGTTATATTCTTTTATGCAAGCAATTCTTTTGTATTTCTCTATATGATGTTTTCATTTACTTCTATCGCATTGCCTTTTTATGTTAAAATATTTATGTTACAAAACAAATGAATCATGTGTCATTGCCTTTTTTTAAAGAAGTAGTAATAAACAAACATTAGTGACAATCTGAATTGATGTCTTACCATGTCATCAGACCTGTTCCAAGGCTCCACTGACAATAGCAACCGTACTTTATCTTAAAGACGGTCAGAGGCCCCTGAATATATGTGTAAGGAAAGCTCTTTAAACAAAAATGTTTATGTGTGTGTGTGTGTGTGTGTGTGTGTGTGTGTGTGTGTGTGTGTGTGTGTGTGTGTGTGTGTGTGTGTGTGAATTTGGCATTTAAGTTTGAATGATAGCCAAGTGTGAAATTGGGTAAGACATTTGAAGTTTAATAAAAGAAATGTAAAAACATTCATCATGTGTTCTGGCCTTTAGATTTCAAGACAGCAAGCTACTTTTATATGGTTTATTAAATATATAACAATAATGGATAGCACTGCATTCACATTATGCCAAGCCAAGTGGTTTCATTTTCAGATGATATATATTTATCATTACCCTTAAAGGATTAAGATTTAAACGTTTTTATAAATGGTGTACTTCATTTTTCAGACAAAAATAAAGTTGTGCGCTATGTTTTCTAATAATTAAGACTTCCACACACAGATTAGACCACACATGCAGATTCATGCAAACATTCAAATCCTCAAATACCGACTGAACCAATATTTTAAGAAACACGACTTATATCCACGGGTTGTTAGATTGTTAGAATAACAAATGTTTGACATTAAAGTTCTTCTTTGAACACATAATTTAAAAAGAATTTAAAAAGCTCTGAGGATTTCACCCTATCATAAACACATCAATCATTTTCATGGTAACATCACTATGGCCTAAGTTTTGCTCAAATTTTAATTTATTCTATCAAGTGTAAAGGCAATATTTATTAATAAAATCCAAAACAGAAAGTCCACCATAAAGTTCCAGTGAGTGACAGTTTAGAAACATCCATGCTTGTACTTTGATTAATCAATAAATCTATCAATTCTTTCTTTTTTTTTAGGACTATATTCAAAGTTATCTTTACACTTTGATTCAGTGACTATTCTCTGTAAAATGTACTTTTTTAACCAATTTATATTTATATTTTTTCCACTTTTTTATTTCACAGATTTAAAACGTTTATTACTAAAAATTACTCCAACATAATACAAAGTGTATGATAGGCAAACTATTATGATAAAAAAAAAATATTTAATTCAAATATGTAAACCAATCAAGTCTGGCACATAGACTGTAAATATTACAGTTATATTATTATTATTATTATTATTATTATTATTATTATTATTATTATTATTATTATTATTATTATTATTACGGTCTGGCAATGGTGAAGTATCATTTTAAAAAGACACATATTATATTATTATTTTATATATATTATATATATTATATTAATATATATATATATATATATATATATATATATATATATATATATATATATATATATATATATATATATATATATATATATATACATATATATATCATATTAGATACATTATATTGTTAAAGGGGCCATATTAAGCTCTTTCCATGGATAGATGTCGTAAACGCTAATTACCCGGATGCAGTAACTGAGGACGAATAGTTTCCGGCTGTCACAGTCGAATCTGACCCCCCGGCTAAAGCAGAGCCCTGCCTCTCTTGAAGGATAAAACCGATATTTTATTTAATTTCTGAAACGTAGGTTTGCTCCGATTTATTTGCTGTGTGTTCTTGTGCTTTTGATTCTACTTTATCATCCGTATTTTGTTTTTTTTCTTCTTCTTACGAGTGTGTTTTGTCAATAAGTGCTGGCTGAAGGTAAGGTCAGCGCTCTCCTGTGATATAGCAGCCAATTAGCATGTGAAGCTAACAAGCTAGCCGAGACACAATGTGTGACTTTTTTCTTACGTTGAGCACAGCCATTTTATTAGGACAAAACGAAGCTCGGGAGGTCAACATTTTAGATCCGGTACATACTGTGGTGAAGATATACAATACGTGCACATTTGGAGGATGAGCCACGTTGTGTAGTTAAGGTAGTCAGAGGTGCATGCTGGCTAGCGTCAGCTAAGCTAGTTACTAAGTTACTGTCTTTACAAGCAGAACAGCTGGAGGCACAAAGACAGGAGCAGGTTCCTGATTGCATGACGATATATTTTATATATATATATACATGTATATGTAAACCATAACCTTTAATTACTGTCGAGCAAGCATAAATGATTGTAGCATGACGTTATCTTTTTGCATCTTTAAACACTGCTCCTGTTATTGGCCACATAGTGATTTATAAAGATAAGTACGTAGGTTTTCCCTGACACGTCTTGGATGGTGTCATATCAGATCAGGGGTGGGGCAACTGGCGGCCCGGGGGCCACATGCGGCCCCCATTAACCCTTAAAGTGGCCCTCAGGTCATCAATTATTTGGAAACATGAAGAAAATGTGACAAAATCTGCCATGAAATCATGAAAACCAGAAATATGTCCATAATAATATTTGATCACTGGTATATGTTGAGTTAAATTTGAGACTACAATTTGGCCCTTTGGCAGGGAGAATTAATTGAATGTGGCCCCTTTGCCATGACCAAAGTTGCCCATCCCTGTATTAGATGAATGAATGAAGACGCAGGTCATGGTCTCTCCCCACCCATATGTCAACTTTGAATCTTTCCCCCAGGTGCCAGGGTATCCCCCCCTCTCCATGCGTGGTCCCTCATGGGCGGCTGGTCTCGCAGTGCCGTCCTGGAGCTCTACCGGGCGCTCCTCCGTGCCGGGCGTCAGCTTCAATACACCGACCGCAACTACTATCGCCGTGCCGTGGCTCGCGAGTTCCGCCGCTGCCAGGCCTTGACGGTACCTGAAGATAAGGAGGACGCTCTGAAGAGGGGCCAGTTCTTCCTCAACAGCAGATTGGGTGGGCTTATGTAGGGGCAAGGGGTCATCTGGAGGTGGGTTAAAGGTCAACTGGAGGCGTATCTCCCAGGTGGGTTCATGAATGAGAAAATACTGATTAGACGTTCTTTATGAGAGATGGTTGACTTTTGTGGTTTTAGGATAGTGAAAAATCAGCTGTTGGATGGGATTGCTTAAATCAGTGGTTCTCAAATTATGGTACGCCTACCACCGGTGGTACGTGTGCTCACTGTGGTGGTACGCAAATAAATCTCCACAATATAAAAAAACAAACCCGTTCAGCATAAAACGAAACATTTTTTTGTCGTACTCTTATCTGTCTTGTATCTGTTTGGTTGTATTTATATCAAATGTGTTTCCCCCTCTAAATGAATCTAGTTTTTGCGACAAACAGCTTTAATCTGCTCAATTTATGCTCGCACGCGCACAGACATAAACAACAACAGGAGAACGCCTCGCCTTTTGAAAAGTTCCACTCGATATTCCGTTATAGTTCAGTACTGAAACAACAGCAAGCAGCTGTAAGCCTACATTAACAGATATTCTGTTAATGTAGGCTTACATTAACAGAATATCTGCTGCTTGCTGTTGTTTCAGTACTGAACTGTAACAGACATTAACAGAATATCTGTTAATGTAGGCCTACATTAACAGATATTCTGTTATTTATTGGAGTTCAGCACACAATCCGCAGCAAGCAGCTGTACATTAACATTCTTCAAATAATATTCTTTTTATGAATTAATTTGCCTCTTGCATGAAATGTGTGTTGAAATAGCACCACTGCACCTTAATCTGTATATTATAATCCTAAAAATACACTTATATTTATAGCATTTATTTATATTTATAGCATCCCATTAATCCAGCCATCCATATATACCTAATAATTCATTTTTTTTAGTCTACATCTGTAAATTTTGTAATTACTGTACATAGCACAGACTCTTGCACTTTCTGCTTATTTGCACTTCTGGTGAGATGCCAAACCTCATTTCGTTACTCTATACTTGTATATGTGTAATGACAATAAAGTTGAATCTCATCTCTCATCTCAAATAGGCCTACAGTGTATTTTACCGTCTACCGTAATGGTGGCACTTGGAGAGCCAAATACTTTAGGAGGTGGTACGCAGTCTAAAAAGTTTGAGAACCACTGGCTTAAATCATTTTCTTCAATAGATTCTGTTGAGATGTCCACTTGTAATATTTCTGTACTTAGAATCTTGTAAACTCAGTAAAGAAACATAACAAAGTCAGATAATTTTCCTCACTTTTTTTTTTCCAGTGTCCCTCGTCTTACTGTCTTTCTTTTTATGTTGTGTGTTTTTAGTGGCAGGATGGCAGGGGTGAATGGAGACCGTAAAGGGAAGAAAGATGACAATGGGATCGGCACGGCAATCGACTTCATGCTCTCCAATGCCAAGCTTGTGCTGGGAGTGGGCGGCGCAGCCATGCTTGGCATTGCAACCTTAGCTGTGAAAAGAGTAAGAAAGACACCACTTTATCTTTTGATTTTTAAAAGAATATGATAAAGAGAAAAAAAACCACTCTGTACCCACCTGAACAATGTGTACACAATTCCTTGTTATGCAGATGTATGACCGTGCCATAAGTGCACCCACCAGCCCCACCAAGATGGAGCAGACGGGACAGAGAAGCTGGGAAGAGCCTGCCTGGATGGGTTCATCACCACGGGTACTCAACCAAAACATGAAGTCCACAGTCAGCAGGTCCATGCACTCTCTGCCCACTTCCTCCCATGCTTTTGAACCAGGTGAGGACAACAAAAGTGTCCTAAACAAGATGAATTTGTTCCTCATCATTATGTCTTTCTGTGGTTTATACCTTCAGCCACTTGTCATTTTTATTTTTTGACAGTCAGCCTTTGTGGAGGAATCTTGCGCTTCGTTTACTGTGGGTGTTTACT